GTCATTCCATATTTCCCCAAAAAATGATATTTGAACAGATATTTTCTGCTTTCTTTCTTTGCATTGTATAGTCCTAGATCGTTTTCAGCAACTCGTTTGAATTATTGTGCTATTGCAGGTGCAGCAATAAAATTGGCCATACATTACTACAGTTACTTCATCTAGAAAATTTTTATAAACTGGAGGAATAGATAAGTAGGTCAAATTTGCATCCAGAAATTTGAAGAAAGTGCACCTTTAAAGCTCTCTTATGGTTGATCGCGTGATTAATTTGCTTTATCCCCTGGCATGCTGAATTTATTCGAGTTGCATGACAAACTAGTCATGTGGTTTTTATGCATTATAGGGAATCCACTTGTTTGATTAGAAAAGTGAAAAAAAAAACATTGTATCAAAATGTAAGGGAAGCTTATACAATGATTCATTAATGATTCATTATTAGGCAAAAATTACTCTTTTCTCGAGAAAAAAATTAATTTGGATAGGATACTACCAAACCATGTTTCAGAAAATTGATTGTCACCCAGACTTACCCTAACAATATATAGCACAAATGTACAAATATGTGCTCTCATATACCGCAATTTTGCCTTGTGCGTTTTAACTCATGATCAATACAGTCTGACATGATTTTGGGTTGCAAAATAAAAAGGAGGCAGACGTGGCTTTGCATCCTTTCTTGGAGGTGTGAGAGTAGGATTTTTAGGCCATTTTTAGGTAACACCCAAAATAAAGTTGGCTTTCAGACATAAATCTTAAGATAAAAAAGAAGAAAAAGACATGTCTGTATGATATCTTATAATCATAAATCTGGGTAAGTTTAAACTCTATCTATACCACAATGAATAGCTAGTCAGAACAAAAAGCATAGGGTGCTTTCCCAGAGATTTAGATCGATCTAAAGATTAAGATTTAGATCGACCTAACTCCCTGGGGGTTCACGTTAAATTGCAGTCAGCCAAGCGGGCACCATAGTTAATTACCCCCTTACAGCTTTTAGTAGGCGGGACAGACGCTTAAGCCGGCCAATCTGACAGTAATCTAGTGAGACTCCCCACAGGGATAGATCGATCTAAAAATCTATGGAAATGGGGTGATAGACATCTTGCACCTACGTTTGTCATGCATGATTGCGAGATGCATCGCACCTGGGTCCTCTGTTCTTGATAGCTATTAACCAATTGAATACAGCACTCTATGGCAAGGTGCCTATCCTATATAATACATCCATGCGTGTGTAATTCATATTTGTGTACATCACACATATTGCGCTAAAGTCAGTGACTCGAGGTCTATTATGTAAAGCACTAGACAATTGATGACCCACATACGCCAAACTGCTGGTGTTAGACAACAATACTATATCTAAACATACTTTTTTTTTGCAGTTGTTTTAAAAAGGGTGAATAATCGCCATAGTACCAGAGACTAAATTCTGCTTCCTTCAACAAAACAAAAAGCATGAAAAAAAAAAGCTTGTCCATGGGAACAATGGGTTACAAGCAACAGGAATAATAAATAAAATGTCAAGTGCTCTGTGGAGTTCAGGATGTGACCTTCATGAGGCCATCCAATAATTTCTGTTCAGAGCGACTCAGTCCAATTCACATAAAGATTTCCTTTTCCTAAGAGGGACAATGTCTCGTAAATGTGTCGATATCCATGGCAACCACATATAAAATCTCAAGTCTGGCTGCTACCTAAGGGATATCATCTTCTAGACCCGATACCAAACACAATTAATTTTCAGTGCTTTCACCTGAAAAGGATTATTTCCAAGAACTGACAAAGTGAACAGGTTTCATGATGAGAAACAGGCTTTTGTGAGTGCTTAATTTAATTAACCTTGTTAAAGAGCTTGATGTAAAAGCAGACAGCATGGACATTTTCTATTTTTCTTCAAATGCAACACTAATTACAACTTTTTACTATTTTATGATTTAGTATTTCTAGTTAGGAAGATGAAATTTCGGACCAAATATAATTTTCTTTTCAGAAAAAAAGAATCAACAATTTTCAGTCTTACCATCACAACAGATGCACACTTAGGAGAAAGTTTACTTAATGATTCATTTTGTTCAAATACAACAAGCAATTACTGCAGTTAAACAATGCTCATGACTGGATTAGGGGGGATTTATTACTGAAACATCAATGAAACAATAATTTAGTACAGTACATGACACAAACAGTTACATGCACTCATAACGTAGACACGGATCATTATAGTCAATTAAATTGCTCACTGGCTTTGGTCTCAGAGGAACACCTCACACACCAACTTTTCATTTACGTGTCATCCTCGTTCACCGACAAAGAGAGTATTATTGATGAGTTTTAGCGGAACGTGATGCAAGAAATATAGTATATTAGGAAATATCACTGGTCAGAGCAAATGAGGAGTAAGAAAGAGAGAAAGTGAAATTAATATGACACCTTTTGGGTGCAAAATATTAGAAATGCATGTATTTTGTGTTCATGCAGTCTCAAGCTCCTTCTATCATTTGAAATGCCATCTTTCTCTCAGGTATGGTAACAGGGTGCAATTTTAAGTCTCTCTAGTCTCAGGAATAAAAATGAGGAAGGAAAAAGCCACGTATACTGAGTTGTGTTCATTGTTCAAGCTAAAAAAAAATCCTGTTTTATTGCCACTAAAACAGTAACTTCTCACATCCATTGGTACATATGTATCTTCACTGCATAAAACACTAACTACTCTACATGGCTTTTTGGGCCCTTTATCCATTACATTCACTTCCATTGGTTTTTTACTGACAAAAAACAGCATGTTTTCAAGATACCCATTTCCAGTTTTCAACTAATGCCTTTTCATTTTACATTTTCATGTTAGATCGATCAAGCTAGTACTATGGGTTTATCCGAATGCTCCCTTATAAGCAAACAATTAGTATTATTAGGAAAGATGTAAACAACTGGAGAAGTACACTTAGTGCAGACATTCGTTCTAAATGCAACATTTCACATGTAAATAGCATCAGAATCTGTACTTTTATCACTACCCTGTCAGTGTCTTGTGTACTTTTGAAATATACTTTAATATTCCACTAACTTCATGCTCCTCACTTCTCTCACTTATCAATGCTGTGTTCTATCTTCAATATACAAAATCTACAAATTCAACAAACTATCCAATTTTTCCTAGTACAAAAATCAAATTTTTCATGGACGTGTTGAAACATTAGTCTATACCTTTGCCATATATACAGTGAGGGCGTATTCAGATTCACACATAGTACTAGCTAGATCGGTCTAACTCTGTTGGAAATTCTTGCTAAAATGTAATCAGTGGACTCAGCTTTATCAGCACAGCATAGTTAATTACCCCCTAGCTACTGGAGAAGGCATGTCAGATAATTTAGCTGATTAGCGAGAATGTGCCAGAGTTGGACTGATCTAGCTTGTGCTAAGTGTGAATCTGAATGTGGACTTATATGCCTATAAGAGTATAAGCAACCTATAAGCTGCAGCCGTTACAGATCTCTATGCGCATAACAGAGAAAGAGTTATGATAAATGTCATTTCACAAAAAAATAAAGGAAAAAAAAATGAACAACACGTTGCCTTGCCATTTATCATCATACTACTATAGGTAGTACTTTTAACAAACGGTTTCCCTGCTTTGATGTTCACGCTGCATAATCCAAATACATCTGCACGGTCAAAATGTTAAAGTCAAGGAATTACTAGTACAAAATTTAATATTTATGTCACATCAGCCATAAGTTACTGAGTGAAAAAGGATGTTAACTCAATGTTTAGCGTACTTTCATATTAATTCTACATCAGCCATACATTTTCTGCATGAAACATATTTTTAATTGACCTATTTAATATTAAAAAATATGTTAATTCTACATCAGCCATAAATTTTTGCATGGTTAAAATGGAATGGGGAACCATTGTCTAATGGATTTTTTCTATTAAATAAAAAAAAAGATGCAGAAAAAGAGGATTCCCTCAAAATCATGCGTAGTCACGCTTGTTAACCAACTTTTCAATTTTGCCTAGCCTAAGCTGAAATTTTAAGTGCTAACTCATAAATCAAGGCACTGTCTATATACATTCAAGTTAATATCAGGGCCAAAACCAACATAACCAGTGATTTTACTTAACTCACTAATACACTTAAAATAAAAACTTACCTCACTCCTTGAAACCTGTCATATTTCTGATACTTTTGATGTTACTTCAGTGCACACAGCTTTTAGTATAATTCGTATCAGCTTTAAGTAATCATCCAAGATTCATATGAACTCGCATGTATGACAGTGCAGTTATTTACTAGGCCAATGGAATGATATATTGCATGTTGACTACCTCTATTGCCTAACTACAAATTCAAAAGCATAGGCGGCCTAGATCTCCCCTCGGCGATCAAATCGCTACACGATTTTTGTCATTATGGGACAATTTGATGAATGAAATAATATTACTTCATAAAAGTTTGATTTGATTGCCTGCAGGATATTTCTCTTATTTTGCCAATGTCATGCACCTTGAATAATCATCTGTTCAAATTTAAGGCATGAACACAAATGGTCTTTCTTTTTTCATTTACAGTCAACCAGCAAAATTATATAGTCATATCATGTCATATGGAGCAATTCATTTTTTGATGGCTGAACATGATATATATGTAAAATGCAATTAAACTAAACTAAGAACATAAGAGTTCAGATGTAGATGGTAGTAAAGTTCAGAGAGAGAGAGAGAGAGAGATCAACAACAACAAAAAAGGAAGACAGCAACTATCATTTTTCTTTTTCAGAAAGAGACCCCCTTTGAACTGCTAGAGGTCTACACTAATTATTCACAATTTAATTAAAAAAAGACGAACATAAATACAGTGATATCATTCTGAGCATACATAAATAAATACAGTAAGTGAAAAAAGATTGAAGTGAATGAATAAATGATTAAATCAATCAATCAATCAAGCAGGCAATACTTATTCAAAGAAAATTAACCAACACACTTACTAGATCAAATCAAAATTCTTTAACATGCAGTTCCAGTCTGTTCCAGTTTTCAGTGAAATTTTTTCACGTCAAGCTTCCTCACTTTGATTTCCTGCCAATGACTGGGGAAACTGGAAAGAAGAAGAGACAGGTTCAACCTAATGCCTACAGCTTACGATATATAGAATTCAATCAATGAACATGGTTTAGAATAACACAATCCAACAGTGGAAAAAATTACAATAATCTGAATACTTTCGCAAACTAAAAATGTAAATATTAGACAATTTTTAAATTAAATATTTGTATTTATCTATTCTCTTGCTAAATGCAATCTGATTAACAGACAGACACGCCTCCTCTTGTTTCAAAAGTACCCATATAATCACCAGCATTTATGTGTTAATGGCACTTCTCCCATCAACAAGAAGAGGTGTTGTTTTCCCTTTAAACTCATATCAAGTTCAGATGCAACAATACGGCATGTAAGGAAATGCAAAAAATGAACAAGCTGTCATGCATCGCCTATGATATTGATACTCGTGCCAGTTTTGTGTTGTGGCCAGTAGCATCCTCTTACTATCATTTTGGGTTGAATACAATACTTATAAGTATTACTTCACATGCCTGTTCGAAATATGAGTTGCCATAATAATAAATGTCAAGGTTTGAAAACCCATTCTTTGACGCACAATGTGAATGTGGCTAAGTTTCATCAGCTTTGTAATTTCAGTAGCAATTTGCCAGATTTTTTTTTTTTTTTTTTTTGTGTGTGTGTGTGTGTGTTTAAGTCTAGGAGTTGCAATCTAACACACAAACCTAGGGTGTATTCCCAGAGATTAAGATCGATCCAGGGATTAAGATTAAGATCGACCTAACTCCCTGGGGGTTCACGCTAAATTGCAGTCAGCCGAGCGCGCACCATAGTTAATTACCCCTTTACAGCTTTTAGTAGGCGAGACAGACGCTTAAGCCGGCTAAGCTGACAGTAATCTAGTGAGACTCCCCACAGGGATAGATCGATCTAAAATCTATAGAAATGGGGTCCTAGATGCAAGCCACCTGATCAAAGAGGACCTAAAACACAGGGACCATTCACAATGAGCTATGTCGACTTAGCTAATGCGCACTAACTGAGGGAGACCATCATGGAATTAGCGACATTGCTTCTGAAGTGGGGAGCAGCCATCTTTAGTCGGCCAATCAGTTAGTACTCGGATCATCTATTCTGAGTGGCCACTAAGTCAAGAATTCCTGAGTTTCGTCAGTGTAGAAGTTCTTTTAGTCATTAGTTTCCAATTCACAAGCCAGCATTTTGTTTGCTTGTATTGGCACTTATTCAAGGAGAAGGACTGGTGAAGTATGTTTATTTATGAGGCTATTGACTAAAGAACTTCTAAATTGCTACATTATCAGGCCTTATAAATGGATTAGGTGTTTACTAACACTATCCACAGATCTTTTAGCAATAACACCCATATTAAACACATAACCCACAAATTAACCAGCACTACCAGAGTGGATGAATGTTAGTGTTAGGTATCGCTTTGTTGGTGCTAAATAATTGTATGGTGTGTTGGTAAATTCAGAGTTTTTTTGGGGGTTAATATATGCGTGAATTAGCGCTAAGAGATATGCGGGTAGTGTTAATAAACACCTCATTTGTTTATAAGGCATGTTCGGTGGGTATTGACAAAAAGAACTTGTAAATTACTACATTATGTGAAGAAATCAATTTGGCTGAGTGGTTCCATACGTTGGTGAGCAGTGCTGTATACTTTTTATATGTAATCTGTCCAAATCTCTCAATGATGAATGAAAAGATTTGCCTGTCACACAATTGAGCAATGAAGAATAGCATTAGAAGCTGCCAATGAGAGCATTCACATCGAGAAGAGCCGAGGTCTAGCAAGGCCGAGACCTAAATAGGGCAGACCTACATGAAAGGAAGGCCGCGTAATCCTTTAATAGTCTCTCAATGAATGTCATTGAAAGTCATTGAGAGACCATTAAAGGAATACGTGGCCTTCCTTTCATGTAGGTCCACCATATTTAGGTCTCGGCCTTTCTCGACCTCGGCTCTTCTTGATGTGAATGCTCTCGATGTAATCCAATAAGTTAAAAGCAGAGGTATTTTTTTTCTGATGGAAACAAAGCTAAGAAACTGCCAATGTGATCCAATATGTTAAAAGCAGAAGTATCCTTTTTTTCTCAAGGAAACAAAGCTATTTCATTATGGGTAAACATCTAAGGTTTCAAAATGCCTTGTTTCAAATAGTTACTGATGCCCTTAGACATGAAAGAGACACGTTCATGGAAACACTTAGAGACTCCCTGTGGGAAGTGATAGAAATACTACTTTCAACTTATCTCGAAAACATACTAACAGACAGCATATTATTGGAAAATCTTTTTGTTGGTCTTTAGAAATTCTTCTTGATTAAGATTAAGTAACAAAGCGTACTGCTTAATGAAAAATTTGATTTTTATTCTGGATCTTATATGGACACAGAGATCATGACGTTGCGACTTTATCACATGGCCTACTTCGAGTGCAGTACTAGTAATTTTGTGTTGTCGCAAGTGTCACGTGGTAAGAGTCAAAACATCACGATCTCCATTTCAATGTTAGATCCAGTTTTAGTATTTATTTTTCATTATCTTAGTATATTTTAACCGGTTGAATCAAAACTTTCACTTTGAATAGTACTGCCCTTCAATCAACCATCCATCTATGATGGACCCTGATAGGACCGGTCGGGTGAATGTTGATTTTGCATCTGAAGACGAAGTGCAGTACAGATGTCAAGTATCTATCTGCATCACGACCCAACATCCTTTCTGCATTTAACTCCACCAGGGCCTTTCAACTTCTTTCGGGTTACAATACTATCCCTTTTCTTAAATCCCATTTCCATACCTAGATCAATCTATCAGGATCAGCCCATCTCCCTTGTCTGGCATGCCTACTGAAGCTGTTAGGAGGTAATAAATATCGTTTAGCAGCTTCAGTAGGGGTGCCAGACATCTAAGCCCCTTAAACAGAGTGCAATTTAGCGAGAATCCCCACGGAGATGGACCGATCCCTCTTGATTGATCTAGGTATCTAGGATCTAGAAAACTTCGTCTCTTAATTACAATAAAGTAGTATAACATCCACCCACTCAACGTTTTAGCTTGCATACTGCTATGAATGAAACACAGACCTTCTGTCTGAAATCCCCATCCATGTGCACTGTCAATGTATAACTACTTAAAATCTAATGGTGATGTACTAGTATGACACTTGTTATTAATTAAATCTCTTAAGTCAAGAATAACCACTTTGTCAGACGCAATTGATTAAAAAAGTACAGATGCAAAGTCAAGTCAATTGTCTGTATATATTCTTCCACTTTGTCTTTGTTTGCAGAAGTTTTTCTTTAATTTTTTTTTTGAAAATTTTTGATGATGTTAATAGCTACTGAGGCAATCAAAGCACCATCTTCTTAGTGCTTCTTTGATGAGATAATTTTCGATGAGTGATAGGATTCTCATACCGAGGAAAAAAAAAACTTCAAAAACTGAATGAAACGAGCTGCTGACAATGGTTGAATGAAAATCAATATACTGAGTTGGAGATTCTATTTCAATATTGTCTTCATTTGTGTAAAAAGGATGCAAACTCAGTTAACAAGTTTATGTCTTACATTTATCTTCCTGTGTGTACTATGACATAAACTACTCATCTCATTTTCTTGATTACAGTATCTTCTCTGGGGTAGCGCTAGCAATTTTTTTCGCTTAGCCAAATCACCATATTTTTTGTCAATTTGTTATCAAAATGGTTATAATTTGGCTAAAACATGACAAATCAAGCCCTTTTTCTTTAGCCAATTTAAGTCAGTTTTAGCATTTGGCTAAATTGGCGAGTGTTAGCGCTACCCCAGCTTCTGCATGTTCCTAGTTCAGCAGACAAATGGGTTAAGTCCATAAAGGGCCTCCTCAATTAATTTATTGAATATAATATAATTTAATTCATTGAATTTATAACTAATTCTAAGAAAAATATTTTAACATCCACCATGAATAGCAAATGTCTGCCACATGCATAATAACCTTATTCAGCATTATGGACTATTACAAAGCACACAACTTTTAAGGATATCCCATAAGGCATCACTATAGTACTCTTATTTCTCTCAGCAAGGCATCTTTCCAATGAGACTTTGCCAGAAGCTTTCATTTACTGGGAAATGGGACCTTAAATTGGAGATACAGTGTCTTTGCCAAAATCCTTAATGGATAGAGGAAACCTTTACTAAAGATAGTACATCATAAAAATGTTACACCATAGGGTGATGTAAAAAGGTATTAACTCACTGCTTCAGGTAATTTACATTCACTATCTACTAGTAATGTTCCAATAATTCATCCTTACAAGCTTCCTCTTTTTTTTCTCTCTTTGTCCAAACTTTGAACACCTTATTTCTGGTACTTGTTGAATGTAGAGGGAAAAAAAAACAAAAGGAATTTATATTCAATTAATTTAAGTTTTAATATAACCACAGAACACAGTTGAATTCAACATTAAGGCTAAAAGGCACCTTTGAAAAAACAAGTCTTTTTTTTTAACATCCAGTTTAGACCCAGTAGGAAATGTACTTAATGAAATTTGTCTATCTCCTTAACCTTATTATAATTCTTAGGCTAGAATTAATGATAAAATCTCTGAACAAACAGGCAAAATAGTTGTTCTTGTGATCAACCAGTAAAAGAAAAATCTGTCATCTGAATATGAAATAAGTCTAATTTCTCCCAGTCCTTAACACGAGACATTTTTAGAATGGGAAGGATTTATTCTCACTGGATCTCTATACCTTATGCCAATTGAACCAATATCCGGCATTACTTTACATTTCTATTTTTCCCTCTAAAATAAATTGCATTCTTCTGCATGAGTTCTAATTCCATTACATGATTATGAAGCTTTTTTGCTTTTACCCTTTCTAAACGTATTTGAAAAAATCAATGTTAAACCCATCATGCCAATTTCAATGAAAAAACATCAGGTTACATTGCCTCAGTGATCTAACAACAGCAACGATGAAACAACTTTGAGAGGCTGATGGAATTTGAAACATTTTGCTTC